TGGTTTTGTCCATGTTTCAACAAGACTTATCATGGAAGAAGACAAAACTGTTTTGTCAAATTTAACATCTGAAATATGCTTATTCAATGATTGTACATTATGAACGATAATGGAAAATTTTTTCTCTTCAGATTCTTCAGGAAATGCAAGCAAAAATTTCAGCATTCGCTCGGATCTCATAGTTTTGAACATCAACGTCACTGCATCATTACGTTCAGGTGGTTTTGGTGGAACGAAGTCTCCAATTAAGTATAAACCACTTGCTTTTGTTGCACGACTACAAGCAACATATAATTCAGATCTTGTCATTCCCTTCTTCAAATTGACAACAACCTTCTCGTAAGTACCGCCTTGACTTTTGTATATGGTCATAGCTTCACAAGGTACTATTGGAAACTGCTTTCGTTCTACTTTGAAATTCGTTGACTTCGTATTTATTTGACGTATTACTGGTTCGATTGGTGTAAGACTAGAATCAATATTTTTATTACGCATTACATTGTGAAAATTGGCTCTAGCTTTTCTTCCAGTTTTTTCTTCATTGAATTTAATCCATATTCTACATGGTACTGTTTCATTAGTTTTTTGAAGTTTTCCGTAATCAATCATTACTAATTTTCCACAAGCACCATTGACTAATCCATCTTCCGTATCAGAATTGACTGTCAACATATACTTAGCGCCCACTTTCAAATCGATTTTAAGTGGTAAGCCACAAGTTTCAGTTGTTTTGAGATTCTTTACGTTGTTCAACACTTTTTCTTTTAATGATACAAGTCCATCACCAATACAAAAGTCATATGCATTGGCAGTTGCACCTTCAGTATTAAGATTAGCCAATACTTTTGTATTGTATGCATCAACTTCAGCATTGCTTCTGAATATCCTTATGGCATCTTCAATCGTTTCCAAATTTTCAGTTGAAACAATTCGTGACTTTAACAGATGAATATCTTCACCTGTCATTGTTCCTTTACCGATATTACTTAATGCAATGGCAAAAGTCTTATCATCCTTTTGTCTCATAATTTCTGTTAATTCAAATAATTCAAATAATGACCATAATGGACTATCTACTAAAGCATTATATGAATTATTAAACTGGAATATGTATTTATCACCAACTGGTCTTAATTGATTGAAATCGCCTAAAACTATGACTGATATTCCACCAAATGGTTTCTTTGTTCTCATTATTTGCTGCAAACGTGCATCAACTTGTTGAAACATTGTAAAACCAACCATTGATATTTCGTCTATTATTAATAATTGCAAGTCTTTTAATTTGACTCCAATTCTATTCGAAACATCGCTATTTAGTTGAACAAGCTTATGTTTGCATTGATTTACTGGTAAACTTAAAAATGAATGCAAAGTCATTCCATCAATTAATGCTGCTGCTTTGCCAGTTGGTGCACATAGTGCAGCCCGAATACTATCTGGATAATATCCTGGAAGTGAATTATAAAATCTTAGTATTGATTGATACACTGCTTTGATTAGAGTGCTTTTGCCAACACCTGCACCTCCATTGATGAAATGAAAAAATTGATTTTCACCATTCTTAATCAAATTCATTACGTTTAGAGTATATTTCCTTTGATTATTATTAAGATTTCTCATCATTTGTTGATATTCTGTGTCTGGTATTATTTTGGGAACATTAAAGTGTTCGACTTTTCCAGTTCGAGTATTTATTCCCATTTCAACAAAAATATCACCTTCAGTATTTCCTATTTCATAAATGAGAAATTCATTTTTATCTTGATCGTATTCAATATTTGTATCATCAATATCATCTTCATCTTCTTTTTTTCCATATGTTCTTCTAAAGCTTGTTCGAATTCATTAGCTTCACGATGAATATATTCAGATCTTTTTTGTTGAATTATACTTTTATACAATTCAAATCTCTCTTCATGGTTTATATGAATAAGATCTTCTTCTTCATTAGTCCATGGTAGAAATAGCATTAGCTGCTCTCTATAATAGTTTTCAGGATCTTGATGTAGTTTAAAATATCTGTATATTATGATTTTTTTCTTTGTCCTTTTTTTAATCCAACCCTTACCATTTTTCATTTTCATAGGAGCAATTTTATTATCACTTTCATTTTCAGTGATATCTTCGTCATCAGAATTTTCTATAATTCGATCATTATCTGTTTTTTTCTTTGAAATATTATACATCGAAGCAAAATCAGCCAGACAAACATTTTTCATTTCGTCAGGTCTATTAACATACATCTCAATTAAGCCCTCAATAAACACATCTTTTGAACCAGGCTCCAATTTTTGAAGAATTTCATCTGATTTGAGCATAGAAATTCTATTTTCAGGTCTGTTTGTATTAATAAAAACAGTACTTCTGCTACTGATGGAAAGTGGAATACTTAAAATATGATAAACAGCTTCTTGTGCAGAAATTTCACTTGAATTCAAAAATTTATTTGCAATAACTCTAAGACGTTCTCTGGCTGTGTTATTGCCTTTTTTTAACACGTTCAATGCTTCTCGTAGAAGTTTAGACATGCCACTTTCAGATTTGTTGATGTATTCAACACAGTACTTTAAGCATGCATAAGGATCAAGAATGAATTGAATGTCCATATTTGCTCTGTGTAATGACATTATTTGTGGATTATATGCATTGATTCGCATTTCATTTGGAGCACGTTTCAAGAAGACCTTTGCTTTTTTTAAGTCAGCTCGAATCATTTTAATATATTCTTTTTCATTCA